TCGCCCGCGCCATGTCTCGTTGCTAAATTTTTCCTTTTTTTTTTCCTGCGATGTCTCGCTGAAAGTTCCTTGTTTTGCTCATGTGCAGGCCTTCATGGAGCTGCAGTCCCGGATGATCGATACCACCGCGAAGATCAAGCAGGTTGCCCCCCTTCTTCCCGTTGTCTGGCCCGTTTCATAGGTTCCGGTCGTGCCTCATCTTAGGGCTTTTTTGTTGTCTGGGTCTTGGTTTGTCCCGCGGATTGAAACTCTGACGGTTGCTCTTCATCTTGGCTGTAAGGCTGTTCATTGCGGCTGCTGCTCGTAGTGCAATTGTAGAGTTTTCTGGATCTCGTCTGGTCAGCTATCACACTTTGCTAGTTTGCTGTGCTGGAAAACCCTTTTTTTTTCTGCCAGTAACAGGCTTTGGTTGTATCAGTGGCACGATGGTATAGCAATACGCACTGAAAGGCGTGATGATGAACGACGTTTTGATCTGGTTGTCTTCTTTAAGGGATATCTGGTGATAGCCGGAGTAACAATCGAGGAAGGAGAGGCGTTCGCAGTCGGCGGTGGAATCTATAACCTTGTCTATCCGAGGCAGACCGAAGAGGTCTTTAGGGAAGTGTTTGTTGAGATCAGTGTAATCAACGCACATCCTCCATTCTTTATTCTTCTTTGAATAAGGACTGGGTTTGCCAGCCACTCAGGATGATACACTTCTTTAATAAATCCGGCTGCTAGGAGCCGTTTTATTTCTACCCTAATAGCCTCCTTGTCTGGCGCGAATCGCCGGAGTTTCTGCTTAATAGGTTTGGCGGTCAGCGAGACATTCAAGGAGTGCTCGATCTTCTCCCGTGGTACCCTCGACATGTCTGCAGGTTTCTAAGCAAACACGTCGGCGTTGGCACGTAGGAAGGAGACGAGCGCGCTTTCCTATTTGGGATCGAGATGAACCTCAATCTTGACGGTCTTGGTGGGGTCGTCGAGGCCGAGGCCGACCTCCTTCGTTTCCTTGGACTTGGCGGAGGCGCGAGGAGGCTCCAGGTTGTCGGCGGGCACCGTCATGGCGTCGGTGACCACGCTAGCCATCTGGATGGAGAGGTTGGTGGCTTCGGCGAGGGCGAGACTCTCTGTTTCGCAGGCGTAGGCGATGGAGAGGTTGGCCCGCAGAGCCAGAACTCCTGCAGGCGAAGGCATCTTCAACACCAGGTAGGTGTAATGCGGTATGGCCATGAACTTGATCAGAGCTGGCCGACCAAGTATGACGTGGTAGGCAGTGTTAAAGTCGGCGACGTAGAAGTTGATGTGCTCGGCGTGGAAATTGCTTGCCGTGCCAAATTGTACCGGGAGGGTGATCTCTCCAAGCGGTTTGGATGCCCTGCCAGGTACCACACCCTAGAAGGAGGAGTCGGAGGGTGTGAGGTCTTCTATTCCTAGGCCCAGCTTCTTTAGGGCTCCGGCGAAGAGGAGGTTCAGAGCACTTTCGTCGTCGACGAGTACTTTCTTGAAGAGTACTTTCTTAACGGTTGCATGAAGAACGAGGGGGAAACGCCTTGTGTAAGGGATGTCCGCCCACTGATCGGCCCTACTAAAGGTGATGGGGACCTCAGATCAGGGGCGATAGCTGGGGTTGGCGATGACGTCTTTGTGTTGACGGCGAGCACCCGGCGGGCGGTGAGCTTTCGATCTCTTCTGCTCTCGGCGGCGGCGAGGCCACCGAAGATGGTGGTGACCACTTTATCGTGATCCTGGAAGGCTTTGTTGTTGTCCCCAGGTGGTCGGAGACCTCTGGCTCCGTCGTCGTTGTCGTCGTCCTTCTTTTTGTCCTGGAATTCCTTAGCCAAGCCGAGGCAGTCCTTCATCTTGTGTTTGCTCGTCGTAGTTGCGCTTGGCGCAAGGTTCGTCAATGGCGGCGACGATGTTGTCTGGTCGGGACGGCGATACTGACCGGCTCTGGATCCTTCCAGCCAATCACGGCCACTATCCTGACGGTGACCGCGATCGTCGTAGCGGCGGTCACTGTGGTGTCGGTCGTCGGGGCGCTCGTCGCTGCGGCGAGTTGGGCGGTGAGTGCCTGCATCCTCGTTGAAGCGAACTTCGGCCTCTTCAGCGTCGGCGTACTGATCGGCGGTCGTGATCATCTCGCCAATCCCCTTTGGCGGCTTGCGATTGAATTTGGAGCTGAGGTCACGGTGATGGAGTCCTCGGACGAAGGCGGTGATGACTTCTGCTTCCGTTATGTTGGGAATAGAATTCCCCATCCCGGAAAAGCGTATGATGTAGCTACGGAGGAGCTCAGACGGTTTCTGATAGATGCGATTCAGATCGTGCTTGGTGCCTGGTCGAGTACACGTAGCCATGTAGTCGGTGAAGACCTTCTTCAGCCGTTCCCAAGATCCGATGGAATCCGGGCCGAGGCTCGTGAGCCAGTTCATCGCGGTTGGCGTAAGCATGACGGGAAGATAGTTTGCCATGACACTGGTATCTCCCCCGACGGCGCGCACAGCGGTGGCATAAGCTTGTAGCCACTGTGTGGGGTTCATCCGCCCCTCGTAGGACTCGACCCCGGTGATTTTGAAACCACGGGGCCACTGGAGTGTTCGGAGTGCCATCGTGAATGCTCGGGGCCCTTCGGGATCGTCACCATCGTGATCGGCAGTATTGCCGGCATTAAGTGGCTTGAGGGCAGCATCCGGATTGCTGAATTCTTGCTCGTATTCTTGACGCCGGCGTACTTCTTCATGGCGAGAGAAACGACGTCCGTCGATATGACGTCGTGCGTCCCGAAAATTGTTGATGTGCGCTCGGACGTCTTTGTCGACTTCTTGGTCGTGTTGGCAAGGGTAGTCGATGCGGTTCCCCCTAGCTCCCTCCTGGAGGGGTTGTCCATCATCACGCTGTTGATCGGCGAAACAACTTCTACTGGGGCGGCGATTGGACCTTGGCGCGGCGGATCGGCGAATCGAGCTTGTCGAGTAGGAAGGTCTCTGATCCTGGAGGATCTCGTTGACCTGACAGTGTGCAGCTTTAAGCATTGCGGCGACCTTGGCGACCTCTGGTGTTTGCTCGAGCCGGGCGAGCTCATTAGCGGCCACGGCCAAGTTGGCGCTTGGGGTCTTGTAGACGTCGTGGCCGTCGACACGGACGAATTCGTTGTCGAGGTTGCAGCGGAGTGGGCGTGGCCTCCCTTGCGAGTCGAGCTGTTCTTCGTTGCGAGCAGCCTCGACTACCACAATGGCGGCCTCGTCCGCTCGGCGCTGCGCACGGTTGGCGTTTCTGTTGACACGAGCGGCGCGGTCCTCATCGGTTTCTCCATCTCGTGGAAGGCTGTCGACGCTGACATTAAAAATCCTGCCTCCTCAGAAGGGTGGGAAAGGAGGTTGGACGGCGGTGGTTTCGGCGACAGTCTCCGTAGAGCCCTGGGACTCGGAGTCTGGATTTTTCTCCAGGATGGTGTGGAGGGATGCTTTGGGACGTCGGCCGATTTGTAGCATATTGACAGTCGGTGAGAGCTGGTCGGCGAGATGATAGATGTCTCCCACCTGGACGGCGGATTTGCCCCTTAGGGCATCCTGATGGATGGCAGCCGTAACCCCTGGAGTTTCGTGATTGGCCTCCGATAGATCGAAATCGGAGGGTGGTCGGCGCTGAACCAGAGTGGTCAGAGCCGATTCCGCGATGGAGAGGCAGTCGACGAGCTTCTGGCCAACCTGATCGATGGATGCGATTAGATCGTCGTTGTTGATCAGCTTCCTTGGATAGCGGGGGAGCAGGCGGCGAGTTGTTGGTGAAGACGACCTCGGAAGCGGTTCTGAGATCGAATCTACTGTTGCAGGTGTTGGTGTGGTCGGCGCAGAATCGATCTGCACCGGCACGATGATCTCTCCGTCTCCATCAGCATTGATGACCCAGGAGATCGTTCCGACCGTAAAGATCTGGTCAGGCTTTGAGGAGGACGAAGAGCCTGCAAAACGTACCATCTTGTTCGTCATTGAAACAGCACGCACACCCCTACCTGACGCGCCAACTGTTGACAAAAGATGCTCGGCAGTCCACCGAGGGGTATCCCACGAAGGTAGATTGATCAGCAGAGCTGCGCGTAATCTAGAACAAGAAGGCAACAGAGACACAAGAATTAGACAGGTTCGGGCCGTCAGCACGACGTAATACCGTACTCCTGTGGTCTGTTGGTTTGTATTGGCTATCGTATGATATTGCGTGTGTTTTGAGGGGGTCCCTACCCGCCTTATATAGTCTGGGGAGCAGGGTTACAAGTCGGTTAGATCTAGGAGATAACCGGAAAGTAATAACAGATTACATGAATCATGGGATCGAACGTATCCTAACAAATCTCGTAGTATCTTCAGGATATCGCCCTTGATGTCTTGCGGTGCATGCCGAGTAGTGCCGTGCACCGTAGGTCTTCGTCTTGTGGGCTGGACCGCCCCTAGGAGCGCAACCCATGTAGTCTGCCGTGGGTATCCGGGGTCGTACCCCCCACAGTGGAGTATTACTTGCATTACTTCTAAAAATGGCCAGCTTGATGTCCAAGAATTTTGGCTTTTTAATGCTGTGATATTGTTTGCCTTCAATTTCTTTTCCTCCAAGAGCTCCCATATGAAGTGTAATGCTGAACCTTTTAACTTCACCTTAACATATGTGCTTTACAAAATTTTCTACCTTGTTTATTTCCTATTAGGAACTCCAAAGCATAAGTTGAAAAAGGAATTGATTTGATTTTTGTTAGTTATTATTGAAAGACAAGTTAATGGTTTGCTAGTAATGCTGTGACTACATCATTTCTGTCGTTTTACAATCATATTGCACAAAATTATTTAGAGACTTTGTAAATGCAAGCATATTAGTTCGATATGGATACCTTGATGGGTTCTACTCTGCTGTGATTTTATCATTGATGGAAGTTTCTTTGTGAGGAAATTGCTATAGTAACTTCTAGCCTAATACGTCATAGAACCTCTGTTGTAATAATACCTTTCTTTCATCAGTTACAAACCCAAATGCGTTCTAAGGAAGGGGAAAAGAAGCGTGCCTACCTTACTTTGGAGGAACTTCGCCAGTTGCCAGATGATACCAACACCTACAAGACTGTCGGTAAGGAAGAAATTTCTTTCACTGGGTACTCCTATTTTGCAATCTGAAACCTCAATCCTAGATAACCTATTTTTGGGCGTCCAATTTCTTGAAAATATGTTGAAGACCAATAGCTCATGTGCTAAAATTTCGCCAATTACTAATGTCCAAACTGATCTCTCGTACCAAATGATGTAACTCAGTTATGAGGTGTCAATAGTGGATATAATCATCTTTTGATCTAAAGTCGTTTCAAGTTCTGACACCTTCACTTTTATTATCATATTTGACATTAACAATATCTTGAGATACGACACTTGGAAAGTATGAGCTTCTGTTTTCCTAATACATGATTTAAGAAAAGTATGGATTTAGCACTTTTTGTGAGGTACCAAACAAGTAGAACAGAACACTAATAAACTATAGAGAGTTCTGAAACATTAATAGCAAAGGAGGTTATTAAATTTGAGCTAGGTTTCATTTTCTTAGAGGCTCCCTCTTCTGTAAGTGTAATCAATTTTGAGTGGTTGTGTCAAATCCACTGGAGAAAATTTGTGGACCTACTTCCATATTTCACTGCCTCTGGTCGCCTTTTAGGAAACTAATAGTAAAAGTGAAAGGTGGTACTAGTCTTTTTGTATATTGTTGCTGCAGGCAATATCCCTAAACAACAGTCATCCAAATGATTTTGAATGTATTAAGAAAGCAGCCAAATGTATCTGATCCAACCTAGGAGGAACTAGTTGGTTTTTCATTGAGAAGAAGAAATTGCCACCCAAATCTAAGTTGAACAGGACTCGAATCTGGGTGGTTGGAATGCACAACCAAATCTGTCACCCTGACTAGCTAAGCTAGGCACACCTCCATTCCTGTGATAGTGAACTCCTGCTGTTGATTCAATGTTGCCTGTTGTGTTATTCTAATAAATGGAATATGATGAAAAATACGAAATCATGCAATATGATGTGGTTGTAGAACTTACAAGTCATTCCAGTTGCTCAACTAAATTCTACTGCATATGTTTTTCTTTTGAAACATATAATGTTAACATGCATAGCTGAAAATCTTTCATTGCAGCTGCCGAACTTTGAGTGAGATGTTATATGTGCCTTGCTTTCTGTTGGTTTGATGATGGCTGCTTTTGTTTGCAGGAAAAGTGTAAGTAAATGAGGAAGACCATCTTTACCATGGGGGAGTTCAATTTCATTGTCTTGTATGGTGCTGTGATGCAAATATGGTATCGTGCATTTCATTTTTTCCACATCCATCTGTTGCCAGGTTTATTCTGGAGCCAAAATCAGTTCTGTTTAATGAGCAGGAGCAAAAACTTAATGATAGTGAGAGTGCGATAGCTTCAATGCAGGTATGCTTGATCTCTGATCCTGTCTTACCAGATTGTGTCAAGACGTGTGAGAGAAATAAGCATAGATTTCTCACTGCTTTTGTCTGTTATTGCCTGATTAGACATCCAAAGAATACCTTGAGAAACAGCTGGGTGAAGTGGAGAACAACATTAGGGAGCTGCTTCAACAGGATCCAGGGCTTGCTCGTCAGATCCTCTCAATGACCGTTCAATGAGAGTTGTTTTGCTCTCCATTTATTTTTAGATAATTTGTAATGTTGCAGTTTGATCAGTCATGTTGTGGTCTTGCCTTATCTGTGAGACGTCTGCGGTCTGTAATGGTACATTTCATGTACGAACAGAAGAATTTGCAGTTGCTTCAGCAATAGTTTGTTGACTAGTGCTGGAGCGAACTCTTGCCTCTGTCTGAACAGAGGCTGGTTGGTCACCTGCTTATGGTGTTTTGGAAGTCATATTCTGCATGTTTTCACTACCTTGGAACTACTAACCCGCAACAATCATGTGCTGGAAACTGAATGAAGGACCCCGAAGTATGGTTACAGAGTGAATGTTTACAGAACGCAGTGCATCAGTGAGAGGGCACTGGTGAGTATGAGCACTGTTTGAGCATAAAGGCTCAATAGATGAAGTACTGGCTCCTGATACAGAGAATTTGGTAGCCAGGGAATTTGGTAAACACTTCCGGCCGCACTGGCTTAAGAACGATCTTTAGATTTTAATTTTTATGCCTTTCATCTAGGATGCAACACTAGGGAGTTGACTTAAGTTTGACCTAACATTACATGCAACACACATTATATGATTTGTTTTTAAAAAGAAGTTGGTATTTTTATATTACACAAAAACCTAGTTTGTGAGGAGTGTTGTGCTCGTCTTGTAGGAGATCGCGAAGACCAACTACTAGTTAAACAAGGTGTAAAGAATGCCAAATGGTTCGTCCAGATCAAGTGCTAAGCTCAAGTTGGGAGCACTTTCTTTGGTTGGGAGAGTGAGCTTATTGTGCTCACCACTAGCAAGAGGATCGATGGAATCTTAGGTTTGCCTGAAAGGGGATTAAGTGGTTGGCAAACCACCGAACCTTGGGATAAAAATCTCTTTGTCAACTTGTCTGATTTGGTTTAGCAATTCCTTGATAATGCCTTGTCTTCCTGTTGGTTTGAAATTCCCTGACACTAGCTTGTAGTTACTTGTTCATATATTGTGGTAGTGTTGTTGCTCTTATGCTAGTTAGCTTGTGTAGCTAAGCAGCTTAGCTTGTTAGCTTGTGTAGGTAATTAGTTGCTCTCTAGTTTAGCTTGTGTAGCTTAGCTAGTTGGGTAGTGCTACCTTAGCTTGGTTTTGTGCTTGTTGCTCACTACTACGTGTATGAGCTCGCTCGTGCTTAGTTGACTAGTTGCATATATTTGTGACCTTATTAACTAGACTTGTTTAGGTGAGCTCTATCTAGCTCGGTATTTTAGGCATAACTTGTAGTATGTTTTGTAAGGTGCTTGTGATAGATAGAAGTGTGTAGTTGGGGCTAAATTAATTAGTTTACACTAGTAGAGAAATTACTTTTGATCCACTTCGAAATTTGGCTTTAGTTCCAGTATTTTTCGCGTTCGGGACTAGAGAAACCTTTAGTCCCGGTTGGTAGCTCCAACCAGGACTAAAGGTCCCTGCCCAACGGCTACTGCGGCAGGCTTTTGCTGCAGGGGACTTTTAGTCTCGGTTGGAGCTACCAACCGGGACTAAAGGTTAACTTTTACTCCCGGTTGGTCCCTCCAACCGGGAGTAAAAGTCTACTCCCGACGGAGGCTCTGTCCGGGACTAGAAAGGGACCTTTAGTCCCGGTTGCTGTCTCCGACGGGACTAAAGGTCCCCTCCTATATACCCCTTCTTTCTCTCCGAGCTTGAGCCACTTCGAGCTCAGTGTTCTTATTTCATCGCCGACCTCTTTTCTTCCTCATCGCCGGTAATCACAAGATTTCTTCGATTCCTCTATCGATTCTTCGGTTCTAAAGGTTACCAACTTTATACTCTCATGTTTCATTAGTAGCATATCTCATTTTGTGGACTAGATATATGTGTTTTTTATGGTGAATTTTTTTTATTTGTAAGCCATTTAAGCTCAAAATCACTTTAAAGTTTGCATATTTGGATAAAGGAAGGTTAAAGTAGTTATTCAAAACTAGTATTCAGCTTTCATTTCTAGCATGCATAGCACACTTCATGGTTTAGAGATATAGAGAATTTTAGAGTTTTTTTTAATTTTATTTGTTTATAAAATGAGAAATTTATATTATATTAAAAATGAGTATAGAGAGTAGATGGCAACTGCTTCCCGGTCCTCGGCCTCTCATCGGGTTCCAAAGCGACTGAGGCCGGACCTCCCTCTCGTTGCATGCGGCAAGTGTGATGAGAAGATTGTGATGGAGTACCGGGTGAGGAAGGAGTGTCCCAACAAGGGCCGTATCTTCTACAAGTGTCCGGATCGCAATGTGAGTTATTTTGTCGCATTTGATGATTATGGTTAATTTATACTTATTTTCATGATGATTGTGATTAAAGTTCTAATTTTTTGTTTTAATTTCAGTGGGATGGCACTGGATGTTCAGGCTGGTACTGGGAGGAAGAGTATGTTGAACACGTACAAAACTCTCTTGCACAGGCGGCTATGGCGGCTGATGAGGCAGTGATCCTGCAGAAGAAGTCCATAGATGTTGAACATACGCATGATCTGTCTGTTTTAGTTGGGATTGGTCGCGAAATCCTTATGCTGCTGAAGTGCATTTTAGCTTTAGTTTTTTTAGTGGTAGTTGGGATTGTCTACATTGTAGCGAGACTTTCATAAATTAATACCTTGTGTGGTGGCATGCATGTCGTATAATTAACTAATTATGTTCTAGGTTTTAATATGGTATGTATGTCATGTAATGTAGATGAGCCGGCATTGTATGTACAATGCTGATCGCCGCTCCCAAGAGTTCATTGAGGGCGTGCATTCTTTCTTACGTGTGGCCGAGGCAAACAAACGGGATGGTTTCATGTGCTGTCCATGTGCCATATGTAAGAATTTGAAGGAATATGCTAGCTCAAGGAGTCTTCATTCACACTTGTTGAAGTCAGGTTTCATGCCAAACTATGTTTGTTGGACGAAGCACGGAGAAACCGGGGTTGTAATGGAAGAAGGTGAAGAAGAACAATGGGACGATGATGACATTATTGCTGAATATGGTGCCTTCAATGATACTACAATGGGGGAAGCTGAAGAAGAGGTAGGGGCAGAAGATGAGCCCACTGATGATCTTTGTCAGGCCATTCGTGACGCACAAAGAGAATGCGAAAGTGAAAAGGAGAAGATCAAGTTCGAGCGCATGCTAGAGGATTACAAGAAATTGCTATACCCAACTTGTGATGCGGGGCAGAAAAAGTTGGGTACCACACTAGAATTGCTGCAATGGAAGGCAAAGAATAGTGTATCTGACAAAGGATTTGGGGAGTTACTGAAAATCCAAAAGAAGATGCTTCCGAAGGATAACGAATTGCCCGCCACTACGTACGAAGCAAAACAGGTAGTCTGCCCTTTGGGATTAGAAATCCAGAAGATACATGCATGTCCTAATGACTGCATCCTCTACTGTGGCGAGGAGTACGAGAAGTTAGATGCATGCCCAGTATGTCATGCATCGCGGTATAAGATCAGGCGAGATGACCCTGGTGATGTTGAGGGCGAATGCCCCACGAAGAAAATCTCTGCCAAGATTATGTGGTATGCTCCTATAATACCACGCTTGAAACATTTGTTCAGAAACAAAGACAATGCAAAGTTGTTGCGATGGCACAAAGAAGACCGTAAGGTAGACAATATGTTGAGACACCCTGCTGATGGGTCCCAGTGGAGAGCAATCGATAGAGAATTCCCGGAGTTTGCAAATGACGCAAGAAACTTAAGGTTTGCTTTAAGTACGGATGGTATGAATCCTTTTGGGGAGCAGAGCAGTAGTCATAGCACTTGGCCTGTTACTCTATGTATCTACAACCTTCCTCCCTAGTTATGCATGAAGCGTAAGTTTATTATGATGCCAGTGCTCATCCATGGCCCAAGGCAACCTGGCAACGACATCGATGTGTACCTGAGGCCACTAGTTGAAGAACTTCTACTTTTGTGGAACATACCAGGTGTACATGTGTGGGATGAGCACAAACAGGAGCACTTTGACCTACGAGCATTGTTGTTCGTAACAATCAATGATTGACCTGCTCTAAGTAATCTTTCAGGACAATTAAACAAGGGATATAATGCATGCATGCATTGTTTCGATGACATTAAAGGTATATTCTTAAAAAAATGTCGAAAGGTCGTGTACCTTGGCCATCGTCGATTTCTTCCTACGAATCACCCCCTAAGAAAGAAAGGCAAGCATTTTAAAGGTAAGACAGACCACTAGACCAAGCCGGGCAACCGAACTGGTGAGGATGTACTCAATATGGTCAAGGATGTGAAAGTAATATTTGAAAAGGCACATGGCAGCGAACCTGTTCTGAACGACGCCAACGGTCACACACCCATGTGGAAGAAGAAGTTCATATTTTAGGAGCTACCCTATTGGCAAGTCCTAGAGGTCCGTAGCGCGATCGATGTGATGTACCTGATGAAGAATCTTTGTGTGAACCTGCTAGGCTTCATGAGTATGTATGGGAAGTCTAAGGACACACTTGAAGCACGACAGGACCTGCGGTGTTTGAAAGAACGAGACAACCTGTATTCAGAGAAGACAGATGATGGACGCCATTACTTAAGTCCTGCTAGCTACACTCTTAGCAAAGAAGAGAAGGAAAGCATGTTTGAATGCCTAGCAAGCATCAAGGTACCATCTGGATTCTCCTCGAATATAAAGGGTATAATAAATGTGCCAAAGAAGAAATTCCTAAACTTAAAGTCCCATGACTGCCACGTGCTCATGACGCAATTGCTTCCAGTTGCATTAAGAGGAATTCTACCTCCAAATGTACGTCTAGCCACCGTGAAGCTATGTGCATTCCTCAATGCAATTTCTCAGAAGGCAATCGATCCAATGGATCTAGCTAAACTACAGAATGATGTGGTTCAATGTCTTGTTAGCTTTGAGTTGGTGTTCCCTCCTTCCTTCTTTAATATCATGACACACCTCCTAGTTCACCTGGTCAAGGAGATTAGCATTCTCAGTTCTGTGTTCCTGCACAACATGTTCCC